TGTGCCGGGGAAGAGCCGCGCGGGAAAGGCCGACCCGCCTGGAGAGTCCGCGGCCCCCTTTTCCTGCGCTCAGGAAAAGACGGCCCACCCCTCAGCGAACTTACTATTCCGTGTGCACAGCGTAAATGAAACGTGTACCTAGATCCATAAGGAACTTCCCAGGGTGAGCGGCTGGTTGGTCTCACCCTGGAACTGACTTCCATGCCGGGGAAGAGCCGCGCGGGAAAGGCCGACCCGCCTGGAGAGTCCGCGGCCCCCTTTTCCTGCGCTCAGGAAAAGACGGCCCACCCCTCAGCGAACTTACTATTCCGTGTGCACAGCGTAAATGAAACGTGTACCTAGATCCATAAGGAACTTCCCAGGGTGAGCGGCTGGTTGGTCTCACCCTGGAACTGACTTCCAGCCTCTCTGACTTTGCACGTTTCTGAAACCTCCTGGCCCCACCACTTCTCCCGCCACTGCCAGCAGAAAATCGCACCGGGGCTCCTCAGCCTTTCTTCCTTCCTTTCGCTTGGGGCTGGTAGAGTGCACAGGGCTTTGCTTTTTAAGATCTGCTAAGTGTTTAGGAAAAATGCATTTAGCAAAAGTACTTCACCCCGACAGCGACAGCAGCAATCTGTGATGGGTCTCAGGGAAACGCTGCCGCGTGGCGACAGTGGGGAGTCTTACAGTAGGCGACTTTTTCGGCAGCTTGGAGTGGCGTCACCAGATGCCACCCCGACTGGCTTCTCTAGTAAGGCTGTGTGGTGCGCACTTTGTTCATCTTAGTAAAATAGCACAAAAAAAATATATGCAGAATTTGTGCCACGTGTACAATTTCTAACAATTTGGTGATTGACGTCTGCCCCTCAGATCTTATCTTTAGCCTATTTAAATCAAGACGATATGAAATGTCATTTAATATAATATGCGCATGACTTAGAAACCCACATATTCCTTTAATTACAGGGCTTTGGGCAGAGCCTAGAGATATAATGAAAATAAACACATACCTGAGAGCAGACACACATATACTGTATACGTATTATACATAGCTACGTGTTCTTTTTTAGTGTCCAGAAGAACAGAGCCTTGATTAAACAGAACTTTGAGTTTTGTAGTACACTCCCCAGCCCAACAGTTCTCCTTTCAGGTCAGCATAGCTAAGTTCATCCTTCCTTAAAGGGCAAAGCAGAATTTTAAAAACCTATAGCCTATAACTTTGAGCACACTATCAACCATTCCTATTTTTCAAATCAAGACAATTTCCTAGATCACAGGTAACCAAAAGCTGAAAGACAGTTTTCCTTTAGAAGAACTTAATAGACTTTTCTAAGGTTTAGCAGCAATTTACCAAAGTAAGAAAACGCCAACCCCACCATCCCTGTAGTTCATGTGTTCTATTCTGGCAAGAAAGATGCAGTTCATAATCAGTAATGCATTTGTTTAAAAACACCCAAATCTTCGTTGAAGACTGATATGTAGTGTGAGGCAGGTCTTTGTGCATTCCATAGGAAAACTGATAGACAGTGCATTTCTGGATACACAGTTATTGCCTTGAGATGGTAATATGTTCAGTGACTCATTTAACAAATGCGACAAAACAAGATCAGAGATTACAGTCATTTGCCCTGTTGCAAATATATGACTAAGTAGAGGAGGTGAGAAAATAAAATTCTTAATAAGGAAAGAAACCAGCAAAAGTACCTTCTTACTAAAAACTATGGACAAGTGAATCAGCCCTTCAGCCCTTAGGGTCCATAACTAACGTTGGCCCACAGGGGATGAAATTATCTGACACCGTCTGTCTCTTCCACATAGTTACGTGTTTGGCTAATACTAGACGCTTACTAAGATTTTGTTTCAAAGAGTAAATTAATATACCAATAAATGAATAGATGCAGTATAAACTTTCTGAACTTTTAGAAAAGATCCTTCATTGCTTTCATTGAAAAAATCACTAAGATGTTCAGATTCTTTGATCTAGTAGCTTTTCCAAAGCTGCAAAACATTAAACATTTTATATACATTGAGATATTACTGATAAAAGGAAGTGGAAATAATACAATGTCCTATAATAAGTAGATTCATGAGCATTATATAGTAAAATATCTCACAGACATCAGAAATGAAGGTTATGAAAAAAAGTAATTTGCAAAATGGAGGAAGATTTATAAAAGAATGTTCAATGAAAAAATATCCAGAGATGATAGAACTTCAGTTTAAGAAGATGAAAAGGTCCTGGGGAGGAATTATGGTGATGGTTGCACAAAAATGCCATCAAACCTCACACTTAAAAATGGACAGAGTCATAAAGCTTATATGTATATATCGTAACAATAAGAAATAGCAGAAATCTACATCTACTTTGGCAAGCAAGGGAAAAGAGTGAAAGAAAACCATGAACTGTAGTATCCATTGCATATATTTAAATACAGTATATATTATATATATATATATATATATGTACATAGTGGAACTTCAGTTCACAAACTTGATTCTGTCTATGCTTCTGGTCACAAACTAAATTGAATGAGAAATCAAATTTAATGTTTAGGTTCAGTGTTGACTTTATGAGGAGGGTTGGGGGCAATGCATTGTTCTCAACATTTTGGACAGTAGAACTCTTTAATGGAGGGGTTTGTTAGTAAGCATCCTGCCACTGTGACAAAATATCTGAGATCATGATGTTATAAAGACAAAAGGTTTATCCTTACGCACAGTGCCTCGCTGACTGGTGCTATAGAAAAGCAGCATGTAGGGAGGAAGTCTGTAGTGGTGAGACTTACTGGGGTCCTCTGAAGATTCCACCATCTCCCCCAAAACACCAGAGGCTGGAGACCAAACTTACAACAGGTGCACCTCTGGGAGACTTTCAAGATCCAAATTGTAACAAGAGGAATCCCTCAGGACTAAGGTTACAGGGCAACAACTTGGGAAGCACCGCTGCCTTCAGTAGCGTTTAATACCTCTATACTTCAGTTTTTCATGTGAAAATGCAATTAATATATCAGATTCTGCAGAGGAGTCAATGAAGCCTGTCTTTTTCTTAGAGATGGAGATTTAGTTCTGGGTGTATATATGAAAGGGCCTAGGTGATAACAGTTGTCTAGTTGATGTTATTTTCCCCCTCTTCTTCACTGAAGGATTATATGCATAAACCTGCACCCAGCAGAAGCAAGTCCTTATTTGCCCAGTGACAGAGCTTGACTTTACACACAGCATGCATTTATAAGCAATTAATTAGATAATATCCGCGGCCTGCTAGCATAGGCTTAATTGCTTACAGTATGCTTTTCCGTTTGGAAAGCGTATTCAGCCATGTGATCGCAATCTAGCCTCATCCAGCCCTGTGGAAGAGCAGGTAGTATTATTCATTCCACTTAACTGATGCAGAGAGCTTCAAATACATGCTTACCCAAGGTTATGCAGCTGGTTACAAGTGGGCTTTAACTCTGATCTGGGTTTCTCGCTGCTGTACCTCAATCCCCACTCCACTTTCTACGAACTTAATCCTCATCTTTAATGCCAGTTGATCAGGCAGAACCTCTTGGGCTGGTCAGTGGAGATGTGCTTCTGTTTTCTCTTTGAAAGATGAAAAAGAAAAAATAATGCAAACATTTCCTTTAGTAAAATTCTTCAAGCGTTTTGTGTGTTGTCAACAGAGTCCCTTGGGAAGGGAGCCTTGGCTAGAACAGGAAGTTCCAGTGGGGAATAAAACTGTTTCACTCATATAAAGCTGTGTTCTGGATGGACATTGGAACTTGGTGGGCAAAAGAAAGCCTATTCACCCCCTGGATCTGCGCTGAGACTGGCTGGTTGCTACTTAGATCCTAACTCCGCAGTACACAGTACCCGGGAACTAGAACAGCACTCACATGCCCAACTCTCCTTGGAAATTGACCCCTCTCCATGGTCTCAGGCAGCGTAGGAGCAGATGGGAAGCAATACCCCGTCCTCAAAAGCAGAGTTATTTTGTGAGTCCCTGAAACCTTTAAAATATCCATTACTTGGGAGTAGTTCAGAAACAAGAGTCAAGAAATTGCCCGCTCCAAAAGTTTTATCAAGGGAAGGGAGAAAATGCAAGCAGCTTGAGAACTCAGAGCTGCCAATTTGAAAGAGCAATTTGCCTACAGCTGGATTTAATTAACAAGCCTGGGTCAAAAAGGAAGTCGATCATAAAAGTGCGAATTGGATGGAGGTGGAGGAACGAGATGGTGACATTCGTTTTCGGAGCTGGTATCTTCTCACTGGAGAGTCTTCCTCCGTTTTCAGAAAGCCTATTCCAGTGATCTTAATAAAAGATTAAACTTGGAAGGAAAAAATGCTTGGCCTTATAGTAACCTAGTGTGTGTTTGATAAATTATCTTTTGGGGGACACTAAACCATGCTTTATTCTCTCTTTATACCACTAAGTATATTCCATGCCCCAAAAGTATTTTGCTATTCCAGCTTCAGTACAGAAAGAAGAAGTGTAAAAGGGCCCAGGTATACAGCATTCTCCTGAATCCTCTCTGAATTCTTTTGGTTTGAGTGTTGCATTATCCCAAGATCTTTTTTGTTTTTTGTTGTTTATTTTAGAAAAGCCAAGAAGAACGATAATTTACAACTACTTAAATACATCATGCATTCAGTAATATATTTTGTGGGGTGAAGAGCTTGTATGCAAAGTCACAGCCTGATGAGAATTAACACAGCTGAGTAGGAAATTCTGTACTAACTGTGCTCCTTTCTTCTTGCCGACTTCTGAAGGGGGGTCATGGAGCTGCCTTCACATGTGGGACCCTGTAGATCTTGACATCTTTCTTCTCTGCTGATTCTGATTTTGTGACAGAATGAAACAGAAGTCTGAACACGAAGCGAGAGGCTTCCGAAGCTCTGGAGATTTTTCTAATCCTCCAAATGTTCTCCAATAAAATCCTCCCTTAACGCCGTTGGTGCTGCCACAGCATTCATAACTGGGGGAAGTCTTGACAAGAAAATGAGCCGTGGAAAACTACACATAAACGTAAGGGCTCGTTTCCTGGCTGAACTCCTCTTTAACCAAAGCAAAGAATTTATTTTGTCATGTGCAGGCATTTATTAAGTGCACAGCACAGCGCTAGTTATCCTGTGGGGGATATGGAGAATTAGTAGCTAACATTTGAGTTTAACAGGCCAAAAAAATAAAAAATGAAATTGAGACAACAAATTGCTTCTGGGAAGAGGAAGATGAATGATATGTCTATGTAGATAGATATATAGATAGATATATATATATGCTTCTGTGTGTGTGTGTTTGTGTATCCTAAATGCCATGGAATAGATAAAAAAACATATTAAGTCATGGTGAAGCACAGTTGGAAGGAAAGCTTTCAGGCGAGAGCTGCTTGGGAGCTAAATCTTGAAGTAAGTGATAATTGTGACAGGCAGGAAAAAAGCCTGAGGATTAGGTCATGTTTTGGAACTTCTTCCTTGAACAGGCTTCCTGGGAGGCAGGTGCTTTTGATAACTGTCCAAAGTGTGCCACTCATCGATTATGACGCTTGTCTTTCCTAGAAGTGAGTTCTCATTTCACTGAAGACGTTTTGAAATCACCTGAGAAGCTTTATTGGATGAACCATAAAATACATAACAGATCTCTCATAACATCAGGTTATACACTGCTAAAGTGTCACAGGTGTCTAAAACTCAATAAGTCCAGAGCAGAGTTCATTAGGAAGTAGCCATACGAACACAGTAGAATATTAAAATCACATGCAGTTTCTTTGGGGCCAGAATGAAATAGTCTGTAGTTTCCTTACTTATTGACAAATAGAGATGATAGAAACTAACAGTCCACTGATCTTAGCAGAAAATCAGAACAAGAAGTAAAATTGCTTGGGAAAAGAATCAGAGGCTGAGTTAGTAAAATCCCATTTTATTTCAGCTTCTACGTGATGTAAAATCTCCCACTTCCAAAAGGTATTTATAACCTAATCCCTGGAGGCTATGAATGTTACCTTGCAGGCAAGGAACTTTGCAGAAACAATAAAGTTATTAAGGACCTTGCCATGTCAATACCATGCTGGTCTATCCAGGTGGACTCCTGGCAATCTGAGGGAGAGGGGAGGGGAGAGGGAGAGACACAGAGACAGAGACACAGAGAGAAAATGCTATTCTGCTGACTTTGGGAATGGAGGGGGCCACAAGCCCAGGGATACAAGTGGCTTCCAGAAGCTGGAGAAGGGAAGAGATTCTCCCCAAGAGCCCAAGGTGGAGCATAGCCCAGCCTTCTCCATGACTGGATACCAGGAAACCCATTTCAGACTTCTGACCTCCACGAGTGAAAGGTAACGTTTTATAGTTGTAAACCACAAAATTTATAGCAAGTGGTTGCGGTAGCAAAGGAAACTGTTACAGTGGTACCTTGGCTCACAAACACTTCTGTTTGCAACCAGTTGGGTTTGCGGTTACTGTACATGTGGGAAACTGATCTTTTAAATATTATGCCCATTTTACAGATGGGAAAACTGATGCTGATAGATTCACCATTTACTTAAAGGGTAGAGCTAAAGTACAAATCCATGCACTTTGACTCCAGAGTCTATACCTGTAAAACATGCTGTTTAAAATTCTAATTTAGAAAAACAAGAATATATTAGATTGTCACATAAGGTAAATCATAATGGCAAATTTAGAAAATGTTATTGATTATATGAACAACTTTCTCCATAATCAGAGAAAACAGTTCTTAACCGTCCATTGAGGGTCCTTTGCTATAAATGCTAATGGTCATACATGAATTATATCGTTTATTCAGAGGACCATAGAAACTGGAGAAAAACTTTGTCCGTAGTTAACCTGAAAACGGCATGATGTAAAGTTGGTATATTTTATCATAACTGTCATTAGGTTGTCCCCTATAGATGTATGCTGTTGAAAAACTGAGACTGTATCCTCTGTGATCTACAAGGCCTACAGCCCATGGCATTCTGTCTACTTGTCTCTGCCTATAGCTCATCGTGAAAGTCTGCTAATGTCAGTGCTGACCATCACTGCCTCCAACACCTATAATGCCAGCATTTTAAGAGCATGAGGCAGATCACGAGTTCAAGTCCCACCTCAGCACATTAAACAGAATCAGTCTTAAAAAAGTGGGAGAACACTTATGGATCTGAGCCCCAGTAACACACATACACACACACAAACACGCACACACACACACTACAACAGTTGTCATAGCTACTGAAGAGGCCAAGGTGGGAAGATTATTTGAACCAAGAGTTTGAGACCAGCACCGGCAACATAGTGAGATCTCATATCAAAGAGGAGAGAACAATTAAGAAAAATATAAATCGCCCAGCCATTTGAATATTCTGCAAGTGTCATTCTGATGTAACACCGTCTATTTTTTCCTCTATTCTGTTTCAAATATTTTTCTTGTTTCATAGCTCTAACAGTGCTCAAGAATGGCTTTGTTTCTTCCTGCGTTCTTCTCCATGTCTAATGAAGTGCTTTCTTCCGTGCACATGAGTAGCTATCACCACCACTTCTTTACCCCCGAGACACGGCGGGCTCGTTTCCGTCTCTCAGCCTACGATACTGGAGCTCGCTTCTGATCCGACTCATGGGAGTGCAGAGTCTAGATCCAAGGCACCTCGGGAAAGGGGAGACTGTACACTGAGACAGCGGAAGACAATTCAGGTCTCCCTAGATCTCAGTGTCTGAGGTTTCCCCTTGCCCAGATGCCGCAGGTGTAAGGAGGGAAAGCTACAGCCATTAACAAATCACGACCAGGTCAGTGGCCTTGGGCTGCAGTCAGTACTTCCGCCTTCTTAAACTCACCAGGGCAGTTTCATGGACAGATCTCTCCTGCCAGCCTGCCCCAACCTGATTTCTTCCTTTATTCACTGGTAGGTGTAGTTTCTGTGTGCGGTATAGGTACTGTTCCGGATGCTGCTTCAGGTTCCAAGAACACCAACTCCTTCCTGTGCCCTGTGTTTACTTTTCTGTGAGGGGAGATGGACGGTAAACAAATAAGTAAAACATGTAGGTGGTCCAGAAGGAATCGTTCTCATTACCGTTAATATTTTACTATGTGAAGGATATAGAAAAGATTGAGACTTTTATTGCATTGTATCTCCCAAATCAAGGCTAAATTCAGTGTAATTACATTACCAAAAGGAAAATTTTGATTCAGTAAAAGAATGTATGATGAATGATTCATTTTTTCTGAACCATGTGTATTTATATTTCATGAGTAATTGTGTGACCATCTGGGTTTCCTTTTCTACTTTGGCTGCTAGGAAACTCAGAGCTAAATTTGCAGTTACAGTAATCATGTACATCGTACTGGTTTACGTGGTTATATACTAAATTTTCAGTGGTCTTATTATTCAACCCTGGATATTCGTGCATTTTGATTTTTTGATTTGTATATTAAGGCACTGGTTTTAAGAACCAAGTCTACCAATCAAGAAGCAAAACTCCCCCAGGAGGATGGGTGCTTGAATTTTATAGATTTATAGTCTAAATGCAGAGGTTCTGTCTTCCTATCTTTTTGAATTAAAAAAAAAAAAAAGCGAACTCACAGAGAGGTACAGTGCCTGATCAGAAATTAAACTGGTTCCTCAGCCTGGCTTATTAACTACCTGTTAGGAAGGGGCTAACTAACCACTTGTCAGAGCAAATGGAAGGGCGAATGGTTTCTGCAATACGGACACCATCGGTTAAAATGTAATCTAGAGTAATTCCTCTTTATATCAAAAATTCACTAGCTTTTCAGAGTCTACCTGTTCCATGTGGTTTTCTCCAAGCTATTTTTGAGTTTTGGTGAGATGAAGAAGATGACATACTGAGTCCTTAAAATTCTTACGAAAAAATTCTTCTGAAGAATAAATCTTGGTACAGAATCTATAAATCATGGTTAATGGATCTATGTAAGGAGACTAGGTAAGCTATTTGAAACGCTTCTGAATTATTGCAACCTACCTCTTTATTAAAAAGCAATTATGTGCTTCAGATTGAAAGGTAGCATTTCTCACAGAAAAACGACCCCCGAGTCGGTAAGTGGCAAGACCCGTCACAGCACCAGTTCATCCAGTGCCGATGCAGCACTGATGAGTGAATTAGTTAGCAGTGGAATAAATTGACAAGTTGGCCCGAACTGCTTCGGTACAAACTGAAACACCAGCTTCTGCGAAATTTTTTCAGCAATTATTACAGAAAATACAAGTGAATGTGAATCCAGGTGTTGCATCTGATCTAACATAGACTCTGCTTTTTCTTCATCTTAACCCTCAACTTCCATTTCTCCCAGTATAGCTCACCCCGTTCTGGACATCCCTGCCACCCAGCATCTTCCTCCTGGAGTACAGCAGCTCCTCTCGGAGTCTGCGTCCCTCCCTCCCTGAACAGAACGTTCTGCAGTGGGCATTGAGGAGGCCCTGGCATGCAGCATAGAATCTCATTCTTCCTGCAGCCTAGAGCTACCTGGGGATGGTGAGTGTGTACAGGGGATGATATGTGAGAAAAATAATTAGAAATAACTGCAAAAAGGGTAGGCACGGCGCGGTACAAACAACCTGCTGTGAAAACACAGATGAAGCGGCAATTAATTTCTGTCATTTTCTAGCAAGGGTGGGTGACAAATATCTTCACTCTGCTTGTTCTCGTCCCATCTGTTTCTCTCACTTCTAATGGGGACAATTTGGGATCCGTGTTGTCAGTTTCTGCTACCAAAATGTGAAGCTGGAGGATGAAATGTATTCTGATGTCAACCACAGAAGATGCTGTATTTCGTGTTATGAAAGAACAGCTAGCAAGCCGACCTTCACAAAGAGCAACCGTCCCCATTCCCTGCTGCCTGTTACTGCCACAGACAGCCAGCACTGGTTCATTTCTGTCTCCTCCAACACTGCCATCCTTCCCAAGATTTTCTAACAGTTTACTCCTGCTCTCTGACCAGTGCCACATACCTGGCTGTTCTGGCTGCCTTACACTTCGGGTGGAGACAGCCTATGCGCCAAGATGACCTGTTTGCCAATCCATCTCAAATTTAGAGACACTCTGTCTGAAATGCCACCATCTTACCTCTCAGCTCGAACTGTCTCGTCACATCATGTTTCTCTCTCTAAATGTCTAGCTGAGAGGAACAAGCCAGGGGAGACTAATTTACTCAACCACTATTTGCATAAAAATCCTAGTTTATGTTATTACAAAAAAGAATAAGATTTGTCTGGCTCATTTGCTGGTTGGAGAAGAAAAACACAGCCATAATTTTAATAAGGGATAATTGTATGGAGAAACCAGCAGCACTGCCTCAGGCATTGAGTGAGGGCCAGAGATTTGAGGTAATCTTGAAGTTCAAGTTTGAATTGGACAGAGGTAGGGAAAGAGAGAGGGAAAAAAACGAAAGGAAAAGTAGACACTGTAATGGGAAGGGGCTGAGCCAACGTTGGGATGAGAACGTCGTGGATGAGCCTGAAGGTACATGAGACACTGGGTGGAGGAGAAGAGGGAGATTTCGGTATTTGGGAGAAAATGCCAGAGGGGCGGGAGGGAAAGGGAAGATTTAAGACAGCCACACTATTTTATTTCCAATTTTTGCCATTGAGAAGTTGTTTTTAGAGTCAAAGGAACAAGTCAGTTGGAATCAGATCAGTGGGATACATGAGGAAGAACTAAAGAGTGGGAACTCAGTGTAGGAAATTTCAACACGCCTTTGAATCAGTGGGCGTCTCTCCAGTCTGTGTTGTTTTTATGCACAGACACTGAAAAGCACAAGAGTTCTGGTTCTACAATCAACCCACTGCTTTCAAGTATCGTAAACGCTCAAGGTCCTAATTTTTCATATTTCGCAGGAAAACATGAAAAAAGATGATCCTTAAGATTTCCTGTAGTTCTAAAGACTACAATTATTTTTATATTTTAAAATGAGTCTGCTGCTCACTGCACTAGGCTGACACAAACTCCTCCAAGCGCATAAGCATTTCTTGGCCTTGCCATTACAGAACTCTGGATTTCATTGTCGTAATTTTTACAATAACCTTTTTCTTTATTACAAAAATAATACACATATAGTATAGAAAAATCTGAAAGAACATTGTAAAACGATAACATGGTTAACAGTTGGTCTGAAGCTTTCATTACAAAAGTCAATTTCCTTGTGTAAGACTATACTAAATTAGTGACCATTTATTCCCAGTTCTAACAAGCTTGTGTGTGTATGACATCTACAGCCAAGAGATTTCTACATGAATAACTACTGAGCACTTCACCCGGATCAACACATCTAGGCAGAGTTCATTCTCCCCAAAAACTCGATCAACCTATATTAAGTAAAAGCTCACAGAATTATGTCAATACAAATTTCATCGCTGTGACTTCAAATTAATGCCTTCTTCAAGTTCTTTCAGAAAACACATCCAAATAATAATCAAAGCATGAACGGGGCACTTTTCAGGGTAAATCTTCATGTGTTAACTTTAAACCTCATAATAATAATAATACTCTGTGGTGGGTATTTTGATCCCAGTTTTAGAGGTAACATTTCAGAGGTTGGGGAAATTAAATGACTTTATTTCATCTACTTTGCTAGTAAATATCAGAGTCAAAATCTGAACATAAAACTTCCTGGTACCAAACCTCATATTCTCACAACTACATCAGCGTTTTACAAACTATTCCCCAAATAATTCTAGTATCCAGTAAGATAATGTTCCATGAAAAAAGATAAAGCTGCATTGTCAGTTATGTTTGAGAAACACCATGTTGCAGGGAATAAACATGTTTAACGCAATTCAATGATGAGTTTCTTATTCTTATTTGATAGAGAAAATCTCCGAAAGCTTGTTTTGAGCAGCACACTTTAATTTGCATATATATCATTTTTTAGTATGCGGTGGGTGAATGATGCTTTGAGAAGCTTCCCCCGATCAAAAGCACGGAGACTGGGACAGTGGAAAATAATCATTTTTCAGATTCATGGCCATAGTTGGAGTCCTTGTAGATTGAGGGGAATGAGTTACATCTGAGGACCAATGTCCACATTTAACATCAATGTTCATTTATTTCTGAGCCAGAAATAAATCTGTAAAACTTTCCCAAGGGATTATTTTTCTTTACTGAGTGAGCCTCAGTTTCCTCATTTGTAAACTAATACTAATATATAATTATTGTTAATAGTGATAGAAAGCCGAGTGTAGGAGGACATTAATTGTCTTAAAATATAACACTTTAGGACAAAAAATACACTCCTGGCTTTTACACAACAGTCATTGGACTCCCCTCCCCTTTTTTTTTTTCCTTTTAACTAGCAGATTAACTTTTAAGGAAATCAGTGTGATGGTGGTGTGTAAAGGGTTTAGAATAGGATCTGCATTCACTGAATACAGTGGGGTGGCCCGTAACACTACACAGAAATGTCTTCCTCCAGCCACTCCAGGGTGGGCTACAGCTTCTTCACGACTTCCGATTATTATTCATCTGAGAGACTTGGTTCATTAACCCAAAGCGTACATCTTCTAATGTCGCTTGAGTGTAGCAGGTGCCTTGGAATTTGACAAAGTATGATTATACACTGTTTATAGTGGCTGGACCGGGGAACTTGAAGTGAGTCACTTCGGAGCTAGCTAGACTCACTGATTCTGAAGCGCTTACGGAGAAAGAAAGCTGATCTTGCTGTCAGACCCGGGCCAAATGGTGCCATAGATGGAACCGTCTGTTATCCACAGCACTCCTGGGACAACAGGACCATTCACTGAGCTAAGTTCTTTCCTGTACACTCCAAGTTAAATAACCACTGCCTCCTAGGAACATTACATCTAAGCTCAAAATAGTAGAAGAAAAAATAATCAATTCCGAATCTTTTCTTTAGGATCTTAGTAACAGACACTGATTTTTTGGTGGAATCAGATTAATGGAACTATAGCTCTTGAATATATATCCCTTTTAAATCTTCAGGTGGGCCTTAATAATGTCTTTTTCTGGACTCTAAGCTTTTTATGAAATCGACAAATAAAGATATTCTACCTGGTCATGTCTTCTTTACCCTGTGTCAGTCGTATTTTGCTCTGAGAGCAGTGGCTGGCTTTTATAGTAATTCATGATCTGGGACTCCAATGAGATTATGCTAGTACAATGACTCTCAACTGAGGATGAGGTTACGCCCCGATATTTTTGGATAAAGCAACTGAAATAAGGTTTGAGAATCCTACCTGCACCTAAGGGTAGAGAAGAAGGCTGCCACACATCTTGCAACTCACAAAATCCTCCTCCCCCAACATAGGTTTGTCCAACCCTGAAAGTCTGTCATGCCAAGACGGAGAAACCCTGGCTTCATGGAAAGCATTTTTGTGGTTTACAGACACTTTTAGGTAGAGAGATATTACTCCTGGCTGCGGGGTGCAGACCTGGGAACACCCTGTGCCGACTTGTCAGGAGAAGGGAAACGGCTGGACACACACGCACACGCACACACACACGAAGCTGCCTGACATCATTTTTCCAGACTTACATGATGTGCTATTAAGGGAGAGATTGCTGAAAAATCCTCATATGTCAAAACAGTGTAATGTGGAATTATAAACACATTGTATCTTTCCTATTTTGGGTGAGAATTATGCAAAAGTGATTTTATAGGTTTATGGGGACCAAACCTGCAGCAGTACTATGAAACTATGAAAGTCTGCTTTTAAAGTCACACATTTTACATATCCCAGCAGACAGGAAAGTCTTGGTTTGATGTTAACAACTGCGAATTGTGACTATAAAAGAAAAATTTCTAAGCTCTAATTAATTTAAAAGGTATTTTGTTCTACTATGCTAAAAAACAATTATCTCCCCATTCTAACTATAGAAAATATTATGGAAATGGTCATGTGAAGAGGTGGTCAAAAGGATGCAACCAAAAGCCAGGCATGATGGTGCATGTGCCTTGTAATCCTAGCACTCTAGGAGGCGGAGGCAGGAGGACTGTATGGTTGAGCCTAGTTTGGGCAAATTAGTGACTTAGCAAGATCCTGTGCAAAAACTAAATTGAATTAAATCAGTTAGAATACTAGGAATGTAACTCAGTCAGAAGGTCCTGGGTTCAATCTGGGGTATTGTTCTTCCATAAAAATATGTAACAGAAAATGCTGAGGAAAAAATGTGGAGGTATATTAGGGAATTAACTGATGAAGTAAAGTGTTATATTTTTCTTGAATTTTATGGTGTTTATTTGTTAGCTATTACAGGTCTGTAAATTTGTTGTGTATTCTTGGACCATATTAAATATAGAATTTTGAACATCATTTTGAATATGTAATCTTAATTTCTTTTTCTCAAGAAGGACTACAAAGTTGTACAGACACCACAAAACTTGATGTTCCCCTAGACACACATTTTATTTGAAAAACATACTGAATTGTTATTTCCTTTATTTCCTTAAAGACAATGTTTGCTTTCTGCTCATGGCTCATTTCAGAAAGTACCCATACTGTGAAGTCCATTTTTTTTCTTTCCCTTCTGCACTGTCTTTCTAAAACTAAAATATACTTTTCCATTTCCCTTACTTAATAGAAAATGAAGATGCAAGGGAAAAAAATCCTATTACCTCTGTGAAACCTGCTGCCCTAAAGTCACAAATATAATTTATGGATTCTGGCCATGCTTGCATCCCTTGCTATCCAGTAAAGTTTATTGAAATTGGAGCTAGAATTAAAAAGCTTAAACCAAAAGAATCAGTCTAGGGGTTGGAGAAAAAAAAA